CGCTGTAATCACTACTTAAAATGGTGCTCAATGCTATATATTATTTCCCAATGATGTATGGCTATCCTATGATGTTTGAGTAGATCCGTTTTGTCCTATGGGTTAATTGATGATCGTGATTGGTTTGAGTTGCATGTTTTATTATTGGTTTTGTCCTATGGTGCTCTCCATGTCGCGCAAGCGTGAGGGATCCCCGCTGTAGGGTTTGCAATATGCTCATGATTTGTTTATGGTGGGTGGCGTGAGTGACAGAAGCACAGACCCGAGTAAGTAGGTTGTTTGCGTACGGGAGTAAAGAGGACTTGATGCCTTATAATGCTATGGTTTGGTTTTACCTTAATGAGCTTTAGTAGTTGCGGATGCTTGCTAGAGTTCCAATCATAAGTGCATATGATCCAAGAAGAGAAAGTATGTTAGCTTATGCCTCTCCCTCAAATAAAATTGCAATAATGATTACCGGTCTAGTTATCGATTGTCTAGGGAGAAATAACTTTCTCGTGACAAAAAGCTCTCTACTGAAACTAATTTAGTTGCGTCTTTATCTAAACAGTCCCTAGATTTTATTTACATGCTCTTTATTATTTTCCAAACCTAGCCTACAACACCTACAAAGTACTTCTAATTTCATACTTGTTCTAGGTAAGGCGAACGTTAAGCGTGTGTAGAGTTGTATCGGTGGTCGATAGAACTTGATGGAATATTTGTTCTACCTTTAGCTCATCATTGGGTTTGACACTCTTACTTATCAAAAGAGGCTACAATTGATCCCCTATACTTGTGGGTTATCAGCCGGTAGCCTGGAAAACAAAAGATTTTAGCCTGACCTGGCAGCCTGAGTGCAGTGTTGTTTGGTTTGTGTCTGAGCCCGACTGACATGATACAATACAATTATTATGTAAAGAACTCCACACCTATCCTATCTATGCAAAAGAATGGCTATTTTAATTCCAAGCGATGCAACAGGCACAACCAGGCGTAAGAAATAGGAGGCCTGACTCAGGCTAACCACACTACCGGAGGCCGGTCTGGCTAATTATGGCTAGTGGTAACTCGGGCCAGACAAGTAAGAGGGTCACTCATGATAGCAACCAAACAATACACTGTCACATTCGAGGCAGGTGGTCAGGCCAGGCAAGTTCGGTCAGGCATCCAACCAAACAACCCCTAAAAACCCTAACCTAAACTAATAGCCTAGGCGAAGGCACTGGGATTTCCCTCCTTGTCACCATCCAATGGAGCGGTAGGTAAAGGGGAGGTGAATCCATGCACTTGCCAGTGCAACCTAGATGGAAGAGTTTTTCCTAGCCGAGTTTCTTAGTTGAGGAAAGGAATATGATTCCATGAGATATATTTACAATTTTACATACTAACTCCATGTATGTGATGGAAGTAACTAATAGAATAGCATCCTACAAAATCTATCGAATTTCAGTTGCCTTGATCGACGAAAGAAAGATGCCTCACATGCATGGAAATGGCAATGCAAATTAGTTCTGCCAGATCCCATGTCCAACCGAAAACACGCATGATATACAAAGTGGAGTATGTCTTAGTTAGCATCACTTTTCCAATATCGGAAGGGAAGTTAGAGCGACTGAATCGTCCATTAATTTAATTTTGAGTTACATACCTCCAATGTTTGGAATATCACTTATCGTTAGTATTTTAGTCGGCTAGGGATTAGAGCCAAGAGAAGTGCATTTCAACCCCGAACTCTTGCCATAGTCCAATTTACAACCCCGAACTTCAATACCGTCTAAACTACAACCCCCAACTCTCAAAACTGGCCAGGATTCAACCCTCCCCTCCCTGTTGACCGGTTTTGACCAGTCAATGGGTCCAGTCAGCATGCCACATCAGCAAATAATTCAAATTTCCAGAAAAAACTGTAAAATCGAGAAATAAAGAAAAGGTCGAAAAAATATAGAATATCAAATTTCTAGAAAATTCAGGGAAAAGTACGGAAAACAAAGTTGTGAAAAAATCAAAATTTCCAGAAAAAACCAAAAAATCATGTAAAACAAAAAAAATACAAAAAGTTAAATTTTCCAATTTTCCCCACGAAATTTCCGAAAAAAAACTTTCCTAAATTTTCATTTCTTTTTTTGGAAATTTCAAATTTCAAATATATTTTCCCTGGATTTTTTCCTGATTTTACAGATTTTTATTTATTTTTTCTGGTAATTTTGATTGTTTTGCTGATGTGGCATGTTGACAGGTCAAAACCGGTCAACAGGGAGGGAAGGGTCGAATCCTGACCGGTTTTTAGAGTTGAGGGTTGTAATTTAGACGGTATTAGAATTTAGGGTTGTAAATTAGACTAGGGCAAGAGTTCGGGGTTGAAATATGCACTTCTCTCATTAGAGATTAATCAGATATCTGCCAATTAACCGATTTTTACTCAAAAATTTCCAGACGTACTACAAAACTTTTCCGGCTTGATAATTTACTCCCAAACACTTCCGGTTTCTCCGAAACACTTTCGCTTTTTCTCTCTGAAACATTTTCAGTGTCTTCAAACCTTGCTGGCATGGGCAGCACTTGCTCCCCATGTGAGGTTGAGCGGCCACGCGCCGCGCGTTGGGCGTTGGGCGAGCCTCTCAACTTCTATGATACTGGAGGGCATCTTCCCCCATGTGTCGAGTTCTGTAGTTGAGGAAAGGAATTTGATTCCATGGGATGGATTTACATACTAACTGATGGAATAGCATCCTGCAAATATCAACGAAAGAAGATGCCTCAGATACATGGAAATGGCAATGCTAACTAGTTATGCTTGATCCCATGTCCAACCAAAAACGCGCATGATATACAAAGTGGAGTATGTCTTAGTTAGCAGCACTTTTCCTTGAAGGGAAGGGAAATTAGAGGCGGTTGATTCCTTCATATTAGTTTAACTTTGTGTTACTTATCTCTATTGTCTTTTTATAACTCCTCATTATACTCGCCGAGTCCTCTAAATTGTAAGAAATTGCTTTTTTTGCGAGAAGTAAGAAGTTGGTCATAAAGTTATACTCATTAGTGCACACTTTCCACAAATAGCTACATTTTTTGCATAGGGGGCATTACGCCCGGCTTTATAGATAAAGCTCGCTGACCAAGGTAGGCAAATGGTGATGACACGAGATTTATTTTCTTTGTGAATACAGTGACACAAGATTGCAATACAGGCATACAAATATCACAAGTTTCAATGTCATTGAACAAAATTATTAATTAGTTGTGCATGTTCCAGAGCGTTTAGCCAAGCCTGCCAGATAATGCAACGGGTTTACCCCAAGATACCCCGCAACCAAGGAAAGAAATCTAAGGAACCCTTACCATGCAGTGTAATACACCGATGAAGAGTTATGATATCTCCCGAGCTTCAATGAGCTAGTATTTATTTATTTATTTTGAAAACAATTAGAAATCTCATTTTATTAAACATATAAATGCATGTATAGAAAAAAATAATCAACAGATCTTTGCTTTACACAGAAAAAGATAAATACATGGGCAAAATATAGTTTTTTTCTTTCCCTTTTTGGAGCCACAAATTAGTGTCTTCTGCGTAGCCTACAAATCAAACATATTATTTAAAAAATGTATAGATATCTATATTTATTCCAGAAGAACCATTTAATGTTTATGAAACTTGTAAAAAAAGTTTCTCGTTTATAAAAAAATCCAGGCTGCCTAGAGCCGATGAGCCAAAATGTCGCACTATGTGCTCCCATCTTAACGAGAGTAACCTTTCAAGACTTTGGAATCAATATGGAACCATTCTCAGAGTCTCACTTCATATATAATCTTCCTGTATCTACAGAGGAGACCAAAATGAGTATTGATCGAACACCAACATTATTAAAAAAACCTCCTAAAATGGAAAATACAATGCAGTCCTGCATATAATACGATGACTATACAAATGATTGTTACTCTTTTCCTGACCAAAATTTCGTAACATCTTTTAATACAACAATTTAGGTTATAAATATGTGCAAATATAATTGGCCATGATTTATGAATAAAACTTTAGGCAGCCGGGAATTAAAAAAAAGTTTAGAGATTACCGATTGTTACATTAAATTAGATAATGTGTATGGACGTGGATCACTCGTTGGCAGACAAGCGCGATAGCTAAGTGGTACGAAAAAGCTACGTGCAGCAGATTTGATTGAAGTATCTGCAAAAGCTTCCAGCTTTGACCTTGTACTAGTAGTGATGAAAAGAGAGATGGATGCATCGTTGGAGCCAGTAGTACGCGGCATAAAGAACGGATTGCTTTGACTTGCCTCGGTCGACCGATCCATGTGGTCGGTGGAATAATGCAAAAGCTAATAAAGCTTAAACGATTTGATTTGATGCAAAGATGATGGATCGAGCAGGCTGTGTTTTATCAAATCCAATCACCAGTAAAAGTTCCATTCCCTCGCCTTCCTAATTCGTTACAGAAATTCTCACCTGGAAAATTATAGTTTTTTTTTTGCGGGTGAGGAAATTTATAGTTAGGTTCAAAAGACTAGATATAATTTACAAATTACAGGAAGATGCTCTAGATATGATTATGGATCGAGCAGACTGTGTTTTTAAGTTGTTGATTGATGACGATCAGCATGCTTATGATCATGTTCAAATTTTCGATGGATCAGCCGAACAAGATTGAATATGTCTTGATTTACAAACACAAAATTTACATAAGCATGCATGCATGCATGCATGCATGTATAACAGTATAAGTTCATCCCTGTGTTCCATGACAAGTTGAGATTGGGCATTATGCATGCTAGGATTAGTAATCGATCTTGATCTCATGTCCATGACAGGGTTGGTGCTGCTCGTCGCGCTCCAGCATACCGGCGGCGATGGCACCGTCGTCCGTGTCTTCCACTCCACTGGGTTCAACAGGGTTGCAGCAGTAGTGCTCGAACTTGTCAGCAGCCGCCTGCGGGACGGAGACGAGCACGGTGACGCCTCCAGGGTCGCCTGCCACCGGGACGAACACGCAGTATATCTCGCTGGTGAGCGGGCCCATGTGCGCCGGCGTGCCAGCGCCGAAGTCGAGGTCCTCCAGCCCCAACCGCGTCCATGCCGAGATCACCAGGCTCGCCGACAGATCCGGCTTGGCTCCACCGCCCGTGCCGACGCGACGCTCCTCCAGGAGGTCCACCATGGACCGCACGTAGTCGTCGTCCACGCGCTCCTTGGCCTTCTGCACGAGCCGGATCACTGTCGCCGGCGCAGCCACCGCCGCCACCTGCCCCGCCGTAGACTCCGCGCACCCAAGCACGAAACCGTTGCCGTAGTATCCCTTGGGGAGCTCCGGCTTTAGGTGCCGCCGGGCGTTCACCGAGAAGAGGAGCTTCACGCGGAGTGCCGCCGGCGGGTCCAGAGCGCGCACCCACGCGCGCCACACCGTGGCCGCCAGCGCCTCGAAGGAGGTGCAGCGCTTGAGCGCCTGCGCCGACAGCAGCAACTGCTTCTTGAGGTGCCCCAGGTGCGCCCCCGTGAAGGTGAGAGACACCGGCGAGAGCGGCTGGCCTAGCAGGTGGTCCAGGAGCGTGGGCTTGTCGTGGGCGACGGCGTCTTGGCAATACTCCGGGTGTGCGAACTCGACGCGCGGCGGGCAGCGCGGGCGCAGGGCGCGGCGGTCGTGGACCACGGGGTGCTCACCGGCACCGGCGATGTCGGACCTGGCGGCACGCGCCCATGCATGCAGGAACTGCGCCGTGCCGATGCCGTCGCAGAGGCAGTGGTTGATGGCCGTGCACAGCACCATGCCGCCGCAGCCGAGGTGGGTCACCTGCGATGCCATGCCGGCCATTCATGTGCTTGTCAGTCAGTGGCGCACTAGATTGCAGGTCTAAATCAAAGATCTATCTCGCAACATCAATGACCAAGATCACGATGGTGATGATCATGATTAGTCAGGCCGGAAGCTTGACAGTGATGGCACTGCAACATACACATGATCTAGTACTAGAAAGTGCTAATTACTGTGTTGCCAGTACAAAATCTGCAGAGGATCGGCGAGATGCAGCAGCTGAGAATTCAGTTTGAGCTAGGACAGGCCACCCCCACTGAACTCATAAAGCCACAGTTAAAGGCAGCACCTCAGTGGAGTGTAGTACTACTGTTTAGTAGATTATTTTCCAGTTGAATAAACAGTTAAACTAGATTCTAGTTTCAATTTCAACAATCCTAGAACAACACAAAGAGGATCAAGGATGCTGATGCTCCCTGCAGGTCTACATATATACTACTCGTAGCGTAGTAGATATCATATGATAAGGATTGAAATTTGAAAGTGAGAAAGATTGCCCCTGAAGATCTCATTCTGATCTAGCTAAGATATACACACCCAAGTCTTTGAGGAACAAAGCATATTTTGAGAAAATCAGATCGTGCATGTATCTGCCACTAATCATGATAAACTTGACAACATGCAAGTGGATTGGGTTGTTTGGAAGGACAAAGTGTGCCTGAGAAAATAAAGGTGGCGAGGCAAAGATGAGAGCTTTTGAGAAAGGTTGGCTGGACTCTCCTAACCCTATCTATCATTTGCTTTTGGCCAACTTTGCTGTCTCCTAAGCTCTGCAGGTCAGAGATCATACATCAATCACACTACTACTGGGACCATAACATAGTTTAGCAACAATCTTAATTACTCCCACTCAGTTAGATCTACTCAAGCAGTTTTTTCTTGGACGTACTGCACTGATTAACAAACTAATTCTATATGATATGATTACTGTACTCGAGCACTAGGCTGTTCTTTTTCAAGTCATGCAGGAGCAGCAGCTACAGCATAAAATCAAGCTTATTCCTGACCATCTACAGAAACCAAGCAGTGATAAATGGATAGATCTATAGATGCATGCAAAGGAAATTTGTGAAGAATAATTAGTGTAGGGGAGAATCATTTTTTGCTGCAAGGGAAATTTATTTGTAAAGAATAAAAAGCGTATTATTGGTTAATTAACTAATTGATCGAGGGCAGAGTAGAGCAGAGTGGCAACTGGTGACTGACCTGGACGACGAGCGGTGGCACGCCGACGAAGCCGTGCGCGTCAACCCTGTACAGCAGCTTCCGCCACGACTTGTGCGGCGTGGCCCCGCCACCGCGGAGGAAGTCGGCTGCGGCGAGCCCGGGCAGGGAGCCCTCGGCGAACAGCGCCCCCTCGGCATTGCAGTCCACGGCGAGCTTCCCCTCCTCCTCGCCGTCGCCGGGACGGAGCCTCCCCGCCAGCGGGTAGTAGTCCACGAGGGCCTCGGCCAGCGCGGACCGGAGCGCGTCGGCGGGGACGGCGGCGCCGGCGGAGAAGACGTAGAGGTACTTGATGGAGAAGCGGAGGAAGCGCTGGTCGTCGAGGTTGGAGAGGTAGAGCTCGTGGCGCGGCGTGGGGCGGCGGGGCGGCACCAAGACCGGGTCGCCACGGTACTGCACCTCGCCGGAGACCTCCAGCCCCGTGTCCATGTCTGTCTCTCTTGCTGGTCTTTTTGGGCTTTGGCCACGGGCCTCTGCTCTGCTCGGCTTATATACCATGGAAGATATTATGCCGATGCATTTTTTTTTGATTGATTGGTTAGTAAATTAATTCCGTATCATTTTCTCTATATGTGGCAGTAATTTAGGGCGTCTTTAATTTCTTCCTTGTCTACATGTGTTAGTACACGCGTATATTTGGGGAATACGCTTACTTTGATTATCCTTTTGAGTGTATCTCTCATTCATTTCGGGGTCTTTTTTTTTGCTTGGTCCCATATAGGGCTGGACCGAAAGCTCAAAGCTGACGAGCATAACAAGCTCTCGATATCTCGGACTGCTAAGCGTGTAGCTCAATTTTTAATAAACAAAGTCAATCACTAATTTCATCTTGTTAAACTTAACGGGCATAACGAACGAGTTTCATGAGCAACTCGTTAAGCTCGTTAGTACACCACGTCACATATTTTTTATCTTACACGACATATTTTTATGGTACCTTGACACATCTAGTCAATCTAATCGACCCATTCCAACCAATAGTAGGCGGTAAGCTAATTCGCATCCTTCTATAGTCACCACGGTCCTTCATAAATATTACACCCATACACTCATTTTGTAGACTGTGGCACATCGTAGTCTGTTAACAAGCGCTCATGAGCACTCATGAGTTTAACGAGCTTTAACCGAACAGAGTTGAACATGATTTTTTTTCTCGTTAAGCTTAACGAGTTGAACCTTAACGAGCATGAGCTTAACAAGCCAAGCACCTTGTTAATTCATCCATAATCACATACCATGACAACAATGACTAGATCCGAATATTTAATGTGAAGAATAGCATGTGTGTTCCAATGCAACTAATCCTAGCAATACTACATTTACAAGATTTATTTCCACGGAAGAAACTTACAGGGCGATGACCTAAGGTGATAAAAGGAGCATTACAATTACCCTATACTTCGATTTTAAAAGTATCGAGCATAATTTATATGTGGATATACCATCCCCTATACACATTCACATAACATTTATTGAAGACAAGAGTCATTGACGTAGCTTTTCAAAAAATTAATGTCACAATTTCAATAAAATACACCGAGTGTCAATCCATGTGGTTTATATCGAGTTCATACCCCATCCAGTTCATCGAGAAGTCTGAACTGTGGGGGTGCTATTTATGATAATGTTGACATTTATGTAGTGTAGAAGCGAAAAGTAATTCCCTCAGTTAAGAACCAGGGTTTATCGAACCAAATAGGAGATGTAACATGAATGAGATAAGCGGTACCTGCACACACACACACACACACACAAAGCAAATAGTTGCACCTAATTAAGGCAAGAGGGTTTTCAATCCCCTTGTACTCGCTGACGGTGTCCTGGGCATGGGGGTACTAACCTAGCCCGTCCATGTACTTCGGGCTGGGCCGAAGGGCCCTCATTCTTAGCAAGATGGACTCTGAGGGCCACACACTGGGGAGAAGATTAGGATTGCATCTACCGAAGACTTGTCGTACACTCCAAGACCTCTTCCGCCGCCTCCATGACAAGATGCCAACCATGTAACCCTAGATAGCCTACTCGGCGTATATATAAGTCGAGGGGTTTAGCCTGTAGAGAGGACATCAAGACAATCTCATTCTCCTAGCCCTAGAGTTAGAAGACATCTAAAGATCTCGATGTAGATAAAAAGAGCACCAAACAAAACAATGGTGTCCGCTTTGATGCAACAAACAACAATAGGAAAAAGGACACATATTATGGTTACATAGAGGAGATATGAGAACTTGACTATGGACCTTCTTTTAAAGTCCCTTTGTTTCGGTGCAACTGAGTGAATCTGACAGGAGGCGGGGTAAAGGTAGACATGCAGTAAGGAATGACAACAGTGGATCTCAACAATCTTGGGTACACAGACGAATCGTTCGTCATAGCCAATGATGTGGCTCAGGTTTTCTATGTGAAGGACATGTCTATCAAACCGAGAAAAAGAAAAGATAAGGAAGCGAATACATCATACGATGAGCCAAAGCTCCACATAGTTCTTTCAGGGAAAAGAAACATCGTGGGAGTGAAGGACAAGACAAACATGTCAGAAGATTATAATAAGTTTGATGAAATTCCTCCCTTCATAGTGAAGACTGACCCAAGCATCCTGTTAAATGATGAAAATTCTCCATGATTATGGTGCAATCATAAGAAAGGAACATACACGAAGAAAAAGTTTTATACCCCAAGATCCCACTCTGGGATGTGACTGGTTTCACCGTCATCACTTTCTCTCTAGTGAGTTTTCGGACTTGTAGCTGCAAAGTCCCACTTCGGACAAACCGGATGAAATCTTTGTAAGAGTTAGGGTATATATGTGTCTTAGTTGTTCCTAGGTGGACTCTAGAGCATCGGAATCCAACCAAAAAGCTAGGGCATTTTGGCATTTGAAACATGATTTTTGAATAATTATTTATTAAGTTATAAATTTTCAATTGTTTTGTAATTTTAGTATTTAATTATACAGATGAGTTAATCAATGCAATTATTTCGAAACAAAATATGAATGTGTAGATTATGTTAAGATAAACAATTTGACATCTTATTTTATCCATTTGGCATAACAGAACTGAACATATGAATTTTTAAAGTTTAAAATAATGTCTTCAATTATGTATTTAATTAATAAGTGCAAAATTAATTATGCAACTTCATGTCAAAATGATACTAGTTGATAGAAATCTTCAAGATGAATCCACAAAAATTTGAATCAACTCATTTGGTTTAGTTTTCAAATTGTTATGCATTTTACAAGAATTAATTTCAATCTGTAAACTTGAATCTGTCGAATAGCTTCTTTAAAATGAAAATTAATTGAAAGACACCTTTAGGTTGCAACCATCAACTGGGACTAAATATTTCAGCTCCCGCGCGGAATTTTGGCCGCCGAAAAGGTTGGCCGTTAGTCCCGGTTCGTGGCTGGAGCCGGGACTAAAGGATCTTTAGTCCCAGTTCATGGCTGGAGCTGGGACTAAAGGTCGCGGGTATATAACTTTCAGGATTTGGTGTCCCGGTGCCAGCCACCGCCCCGGAGATCGAAGGAATAGATCCACCCCCTTGCCGCATCATCTTCGTCCTTGGCCACCACCGGCGAGCTCCCTCGAATTTGTCGTCCTCTGCTGCTCCCGAACCTCGTTGGGCCTTCTTGCGCCCCCGGTGAGCCCATGCTCCTCCCTCTTCCTCCTCTAGCTCGCGCTCGTCCTCTAGCCGCCGTAGCCGACACGACCGAGCTCTTCGTTGCCCTGCTCCGTCACCGCCATAGTTGGAGCCCTTGTGGGTTGTGTCTAACCGCACCATTATGCTCAGAGCACCACTGCGGCCCTGTAGTTCCCTCCAGCTCACTCCCCCGCTCCCCTAGCACCGTTCCCGATGAGCCCCGCCTACGACAGCCGCTCGCGCTCGACGCCGCTCCCCGCCCAAACCAACAACATAGGGCGACGCGCGACACAACGCTCATTCTAAAACGACCGGCCGCATCCCAAATGGGCCTCGGAGTCGCGTTTCCAGCCAACTCTAGCAATAGCCGAGCCCCTCCGCCGCAAAAACGGCTCACCGGAGCATCTCCGGCGCCGCCGCCTACATGGCACCGCCCGATCCCACCTCTAGTGATGCTGGCAGCTAGGGCCCGCGGCCAAGCTGACCATTGACCCCCAGTCAACTGGCTGACTAGGCAACGCTCATTCACTGCCAGTGGGGCCACCCCCTAAACTAATTAGAACTTAATTAAATTAATTAATTAAATTACTTAGACACTAACATTTGGGCCTAGGAGGTTAGTTAGCTAATTGAGTTTACACTAGCAAAAAGGCTCGTGCGTTGCAATGGGGAAAAAATACCACACGCTCTTAATTTACAAAAAATGGTATATAATCTGAGAATTTGTAGCTACGGCACAAACAAAGATGGTCTTAATCTATAAAAGCGCAGTTTAAGATTCTACATGTGTTCTATTTCAATATGGCTTGCGTGTAGATTTAATCCATACAAAGAAATGAGTAAGTGATCATGCATTTATTCATGTCATGCTCGGAATGGAGTGTTGTTACGGGCGAGTAAAGAAAAACGACAAAAATAAACGATGACACATTAGCACACTACGGAGATATGTGTGCATCAATGACAGTTTTCAGTTTAAGAATCACCAACTTATGGTAACTCTTGAACATTTTTTTGCACATGCATATTTCTTAAATACACGAAGAGTTGTTAAAAATGTTCTTAAAAAGATACATGATTCTTTAATCATAAAAGAGATTATTTTGTGTGGAAAAGAACATTTTTGTATGGTCTCCTAGGGACGCAGATACTTGCGCCCCTATTTCATCACTATTTCTTGCCATACATGTCATATGTATTGGTCCGTGTTTCTTCACTATTTATATCTTATCAAACTTGTCTTTTATTTCTATTTTTTCATGCATGCCTCCTTTTTTAAACTTTTTTCATGCACGTCTCATCTTTATTGGATCTCCACTGCATTTTTTCTTTTATTTCTTTTATAGCAGACATCCCATATTTATTGGCTCGTTCTTTTATTTCTTGTCATGCATATCCTTATTTATTGGGTGCCTCTAGCAAATTTATTTTAAATTTCATGTCCAATCCTGATTTTGTTGGGGTGTTCATCCCTAATCTGAATCAGTACCGGTATGAAAAAAAAAGACGGATAATGTATTGTTGATTAACATTGCAGCTTAGATAGTATTTTTTAAAATTTTTAACAGGTAAAATAACATCATATTCAGATTCTACATATTATTCTAATCAAATTTCATATATAACATGTTAAATTTAGAGTTATGGTTTAAAAGATATGAGTATTTTAAAAAGCATTTAATATGTACCGCGGGTTTAATGCCAGAAACAATAGAGGGTTTTCTATAAAATAGCAAAATGGACTAAGAATACCTATTTCTTTTATTAGTAGGTACAGATTTAAA